GGGGGAGAGAGAGAAAAAGGAACTGGGTGGGAGTTGTGTTGTTTTAGCTTTTTTTTTTTTTTTCCCTTTACCCCCAGTGTGGAATCGAAGCCGTCCCTGTTGCCTGTGCATATCACAAGCTTTGGTCTCTCCTCTCTTTTCTCTCCGAGCTGCTGTAGGACTGGCTATGGCCACCACCACTTCCGGGATCCGTCATTTCATTCGYCCACCGCTCAGCGCTGCGAACTGACTCTGTTTCTATAAGCAAGCTAGCAGCCAACCTGCCAACACTCGCTGACACTCACTCATCTCAGTCTCGCCCGATAGACGAAATACCTACRGGGAGGAAAGAAAGAAAAGGAGAGATCCGAATCGCACTTTGTTAATTTCTACACCATTTTTTTCTCCTCTTCTTCTTTTTTTACAGTGATAATAAAAACAAGATTGCGATCTGGAGGCATTAAAGGAGACGCGGACTTGCGGGATGAAAACGGACTAAACAAGCTTCGCCCTTCTCCTGAACATCATCACCAACCGTCATTCATTCATTACCTTGACAACCTCTGGCTTTGATTGACAGCTGGAGTGGCAAAAAGCCATGAGACACGACAGTTTAGTTCCATGCAGGTTGTTGATGGGCTGATTGTAACCTTCACTTTGGCGCAATTTTCTTCCCTTTTCTTTTTTTTCTTTTCAAGAAGAGGAAAACAAGACGAATCGGCAAAACTTTCACCCATGCAACGATTTCAAGTCAACCAGACTGGCGAATAGGACGATTCGCAAAGTTGTTTTGAAACAGGAATCGTGCCACTAAATCACTTTCTGAGCCGGGACTGGGATATTAAATATACGGACCGATTCGGGAGTTTATTGGAGCGCAGCCTGATGGCGCAACGGGTAAGGTTTTTCTTTTTTTTCTTTAGATTTTTTTTTAAACCCTGTGTCAAAGCCAGCTCTTTTTGTCCGGGCTTGCTGGCAAAATTACAAAGTATTCCTATCAAAGCCACCATAGTTGACATTTTTTCCTCGCAGCGCTCTCACTCCTCAGTTTGGAGTGACAGCCCACTGCCTCTTCCACGCCAGTCGTGGAGCAGTTTCAGCACGAGGCTCCCAAACTGTTTGAGCTCTTTCTTCTTCCCTTCACCAAACTCTGTGTGCAAGAAGGAGGCATCTTGAGTTAGAATGTTTCTGGTAACCTAAAGCGTTAGACTTTACTCACTCAGAATGCGTTTTCTATTATTATTATTATTATTATTATTATTATTATTACACTTTTGTTCAACTTTTCTCCAAACCCCCCAAAAAAGAAGTGCGCTGACTTTTATTTTCTGATCTTTTTATTTATGTATTTATCCCCCCCCACCAGTACGATGAGCTGGCCCATTATGGCGGGATGGACGGAGTCCCGGCGTCCATGTACGGGGACCCGCACGCTCCCCGGCCGCTTCCCCAGGTCCACCACCTGAACCACGGACCGCCGCTGCACGCCAGCCAGCACTACGGAGCCCACGCTCCCCACCCGAACGTCATGCCCACCAGCATGGGCTCCGCTGTCAACGACGTTTTAAAACGGGATAAAGATCAAATTTACGGGTAAGGCTTTTTTTTTTAATAATTTGTTTTACAGAAACAAATCCACTCCCCAAAAAAATCATTTTTCCTAACTTTTTAAAAAAAAATATTTTTTTTTATTTTACCCTTCTRCAACTTTTAATTTGGAAACCTCCTCCTCTTCCTGCACGCACCGCTCGGTTTAAACAGGTTGAATTCAGAGCTGTATTGTTGGTCAGGGGAGTTTTGTTGATGTGTAATTTTACACTCTTTGTACAAAAGGCAACTTTAAAGTAAGGAGCACGAGCCAGGAGCTGGGGAATAAATCCGCACACCTAGTTTACATTTTTAAACTATTCAGCCTGAAAACAAACAGGAACATAACCTCCTTTAATTATTTATTTATAACAAAAGCATTTTATAGYACTTTAAATACATTTGGAAACGTTGAGGATTATTTGCAGCAACACACACACACACACACGTACACACACAGGTTGTGTGACAGCGCGATTGCTCTCGAACAGTAAAATAAAACGTGCGTCTCTTTCAAACTCAAATATCTGTGTTTACAGCTTTTTGCCCATAATCCACACAGACACGATCAGGGCTGCAGTGTGGAGGGAACACACCTCATCTCTTTTCCTCCCGTTTTTATTTGAARGAGGAAGAGTATCCCTTCATTTTTTATTCACTGCTTCAAAGAAAAACACCGGAAATAAAAAGCCCAAAGGGACTTTTATTAGGTGATTATCAGGTTTAGTTTGTAAAACTGTCATTAAAATACAGGAAATCTCTATATTTTAATAGTTATAGGTTGCCTAAAAATATATATTTTACTTTTATTTACTTATTTATTTATTTTTGAAGTTGCAAGCCTCATAATAAAATATCTTTGTGTTGAGGACTAAACGTCTTATTTTTCTCTGTATAATAATAATAATAATAATAATAATAATAATAATAAATGTCCCGTGACTTTTACTGCATGTTTTGTTTTTGCACTGCATGCAGTGATCATCCCTAAATGATCGCAAAGTTGCAATAAAATGTTCAAAATAAAGATTTGCTTTTGTTGTAAATTTCACAATGAACAGATTGATCTGAAAACAGAAAGCTTAGCTGCGTGTTGTAGCTCCAGTAATGATCTCGTAACAGGAGGTACTAAACATTTTTTTTGAATCTATTTAATTTGTGGGTTTTTTTTTTCACTTGAAATGTGAAAAGTGAGAGTGTTTTGAGGTTGATGGGACACTTTTTTGCAGTGGAGCCCGTGGAGCTGCTCGCACTCTCAGCCTGTGTGTTTCCTCCCCCCTCTTCTTGCAGTCACCCTTTATTCCCTCTGCTCGCGCTGGTTTTTGAGAAATGCGAGTTGGCGACGTGTACTCCGAGGGAGCCCGGCGTGGCAGGCGGAGACGTCTGCTCCTCAGACTCCTTTAATGAGGACATCGCAGTTTTTGCCAAACAGGTCAATTTTTTAAAACATAGTAAATAAATAAATAAAACATATAGTTATACGTGTTGGAAGTTGTGGCTGCGTCATGACGCACAAATATCCCCTCGATTTAATCAAATGCTTGCATTTTACGCACAGTTTTCTGATTTATTAATTTTTTTTAAAAGCTCATTCTTGATGTTTGATGTTTTATTTTTTAGGTCCGAGCAGAAAAGCCTTTATTTTCATCAAATCCAGAGTTGGATAATTTGGTAAGTCTTCTTTTTATTTCTGTCTGTTTGTTCTGGAAACAGTGTGCGGCAGCTCCGCACCGACACTGCAGCGCATGGCTGACTTAAATCTGATTTAAACTTGAGCGCACAACTCTGACCCGTCAAGTCAGGCTGTGCCACCGTTTTTTTTAATTCTTTTTGCCTTTCTTATCATTGTTTATTCTTTCTCATCCAAGACGCATGAACTTGCTTTACGGATGCAGCTCTTTTTTTAAAAAAAAAACATTATTTTAAAAGCAAAGCTAAACATATGTTTCTGGCTGGGATTTTCTGACAAGTTACAAAAAAAATGTCAGTAATTAAATATCTCTGTCTTTTTTTTTTCTTTTTCTTTTGCAGATGATACAAGCCATACAAGTATTACGGTTTCACCTCTTGGAATTAGAAAAGGTACGTTTAATAAATAAATAAATAAATAAATAAATAAATAAATGTAAATTTGTTTATCTTGTGGCACGAGAATTACGCAAAGCTTTAATATGAATGGATCAAACCGGCATCGATACTGAGTTATTAGAGATCTGAGAGGAAACCGGAAAAAAGTTTTATTTTCTTTTTTACCCCCCATTTAGGTGCACTAAGATGGTTTTATTCAGCCAATTATCGACGCAGCAGACGGAACTATTGATAAAATATGTCAGGGTCTCTTTTGCCCACGCTGGTATCGATCCGCAGATTTGGTTTCTCGTTATCTCTACCACTCCCCAACGCCACACACAGCTTCTGACGGCGCGCTGTTTATTTTTTCAACTTGTTGCTCAGGTCTCGGGAGAATAATAAGCACTGCAACAATTTCACTATTGTTTCCTCGCCCGCCAATAATGCACCCCCCACACCCCCTTAATTGGAGTTATTCTTGGACTGGCTGAAGCGTTTCCCCATCCTGGAAAAAAAGGTGTTCAGTTTTCTTTTTTTTCTCTCTCTCTCTCTCTCCTGTTTTAGGTGCATGAGCTCTGCGACAACTTTTGCCACCGGTACATCAGCTGTTTGAAAGGAAAAATGCCAATAGATCTAGTTATTGATGAGCGAGATGGCAGCTCAAAGTCAGACCACGAAGAACTTTCGGGATCGTCGACCAACCTCGCAGATCACGTGAGTAAAAAAAACAAAACAACTTTTTTATAATATGTTAAATCTGCTGCTGATTTTGGGGTAAATAATATTTTTTTTAAATGCACGTGACTGATTAGATACTTTCTGGCATAATCGGAGTGTTTGGTGTGTCCATAAGCTTCTTGTTGGGTGTGTGACCTCGCTGAGCCGCCGGTAAATAGCGCGCGCTCTGTTCTGCAAGGAAAATCTGCCCCGATCGATGCTCTGAGGTCAAAAGCTACATGTGATCCAATGGTCGGAGTTATTGTTTTAGTCCTTTGATTAGGAGCAGTCATGTGTGCGCGTGGTGCTTGCTTGCAGGTTTTGGTGTGGAGGGGGAGAGAGTTTGGCTGTGTGCGTGCGTAAAATGCAGGAGTGGGGGGGGAGAGGGAGGAGGGGAGGGTGAAAAAAAGTGCAGGCAATTATCTGTTACGCAGGTTTAACGTTAAAGCAGGGGAATCAGCGGTGTAAGCTTTAGCTTTAGGTCAATATTTAAAAAAAGGGAGTTTTTTATATATTTGGAGCTGGGGGAGCTGGATACGGCCCCGTGCGTAAAGCTGTGGATTTTTTTTTCTTTTTTTGCTGCGGAGGTGGAGAAAGTGGTTAGGCTTACCATCAATGTCAACTTCACAAGGCAAGCATATGATGGTCCGTCTGGAGCACCCCCTCCCCCACCCTTTCTTTTCCACTGCTGCTGTTGATGTTAATGTGTTTAATTGTTCCGTATTGATTGCCGTGTGGTTTCTTTGCTCCGTGCAGTTGCTTTTCTTCTCGTGGGTCCCGCGCGTTTTATGGCCGGAGGCTGYCATAACGCCGAATTCAATTATATGCACCTGAAGTACAGTAGCTTTAAATGTGAAGATCGATTCTGCAGTTTGGATCGCGTCATAAACGCAGCCTCTTCCTCTGCAGAGATGGGTGTGGAATATTTGGTGGGAGTAAAATAAAAAATAAAAATAAAAGGAGTGTAACAAAGTGACCAGTTAATATCAGTGCAACACAAGGCCAAGCCTATTAGGAATTAAAGTAGATTTAAGTGTTATACAAAGTCTCTGCTGCATCTGTTGGGTCTTGCTTTGGCCCTGATAGCTGTGGAGGAGCAGGCAGCGCGCAGCTCCAGGTGAACTTTACCTAGTTTTGGGCTGAAGATGTTGGGTATTTTTTTAATGTATTTTTTGTCTTTATTTTCCTTTTTTTTTGCGGTCCTCCCAAACACAAGTGCAGAAATGAGGCATGCTGTTGTTTATACWGGAGAGATTAGATAAACTGGCCTGTTTAGTTTCATGGCAGATGGTTGATGCTCAAGCCAATTTCCGATGCTGCAGACACCGTGCTCTCTGTCAGGGGCTGCGCGTGTCAGAAATGTTTGCATCATTAGAAAAAAAAAGAAACGTGCCAAATAAAGCAAATAATACACAAAGCAGGTTGCATGGAGGGCTATTTGTCTTAGAGCGACCTATTTCACTTCTGTGGCACCATAGTGGAACTTTTCTAATCTCCTTCTTTTATCTTTTTCATGTGTAAGCTGAGTGTTGATCTTTAATAACGGGAGTACTGTACAGATGTAATTATCTTAGTGTAGAGATAAATAATAAGAGMATGTGCACTTTGAGAACTTTATATTTGCAGTTGAGGTCATAATTTCTACAACTGGAAAGTGTTTCAGAAATATGAATGTCAACTTTGCTGCTGGATGTGTTTATTTTACTTTATTTCTCACTTTCTCTTTTATTTATTCACTTGTCTTTGGCTCTGTTTTATTATTCATCTCTGTCCTTGTCTCACTGAGGAGCGGAAGTCAGCTTGATAGTTAGATATGCTAATTTATTTAGTTAGACTCTCTCACGTCCATTTTCCTTTGCTTTGATATGCATTTTTAATATATAGCCCCGGGCTACATCTCATTTGGAGAAAGTTGGTTTTTCTGGAGATGATGAGGCTCTTCACTGAAGGGGGGGGGGGGGGGGGTAGAGCTTGTTTTCTTGCATGTCTCTTTCCGTTTCTGCCTCCTCCTCCTCTCCCCTCCTCATACCTGATGCTGGAGCCTTAATAAGCACAGTTTTATTTACACTTGAATGCAGCACTGTCTGTGGAGATGATTGGATTATGGTATAGTGAGAACAGGATGAGGCCTCGCTGACACTGTTGATTTCCCTTACTCGCTTGGCGGTGACTATCTCAGCCATGTGAGCCCACCCAAGTCTTCCCAGCTCATCGCCCCTCCTCACATCAACTCCTATTTAAATGAGAAAGAGGGGAAAAAATGATGCTGGATTACACACAAAAAAAAGAGTGATAAAGAAAAACAACAGAGCTGTTTTAAAAACCTTGTCAACCGTATGCTTTCTTGTCTGTTAATTAATGAATAAAATTTCTCTTTTTTTCTTTCTTTCTTTCTGTGCTTCATCCAATTAGGAAGACAAATACAATTAACGGTGTCTGAGTATTATCTGTTCTAATGAATTAGTCTTTGTGTGTTCTTCTGCCATTGTACCACTTCTTCAGTCAATCTTGCATATTAGCATAAGGCTTTTTCCCCCACTTCCCTTTATGTGCATTATGTCGTCAAGACTGAAACGAATGAATATTTCTTTTTTTTTTTTTTACAGTTAGAAATTCTGCATGCTGTACGGGCCCCCAGTGCTTTGTTTTGGAGAGCTTTCCTCAGGGAGTGTTACTTGTTCCCATAGTTGTGGTGTAGCTTATCTCAACGGTGCATGGCAGGCGAGGGGAGAAAGGGAAACAAACCGTTTTCTGTTGAGATCTTATTCTGTGGTGCATGTTTGCAGTGCTGTGCTGGATATAGTGTTACAAAGTAAAGGGACGAGTTCATCCTAAAGCTGTGCAGTGCAGAAAGACGCCCGGTTGCATTCTGTCTGACTTCTGTGCATCACTGGCCGAGCTGGCCTGCTGATCCAAGTTTTGTACTTTTTTGGGTCAAAGCTACTGAAAACTGCCACTGATTTGTTTTGTGACGATGGGATTGTCCAACTGATTAGAAGGTCAGAGGGCTCTTGATGAGAACCCACACACACTTGTTGCATCTCCCACACCCCACTTAAACTCTGCGAACGACTGTGATGAACCACTACTTCTGGGATCGTGAGAAACACGGAATGTTTCACTTGGACGAAAATAAAAGAAACGCATCTGAAAATAGCAGTGGCATAAATTAACATGCTAATTTAATAGGGCCACATTTTATTAGTTACAAGAAATAAAGGAAAGCAAAACAACCCRTAATGAGCTGTCAGTTTTATATTGACATTTATATGCCTTTTAATTTCTTTGGAGATGTCATTTCGGTGTGAGCCAAATCTATGAATCACAATAGTGTTCACATTTAAAAACAACAACAAAAACCTTCTTTTTAGGGAAATAATGTGGCTTCTTAACTGTGACGCCTCAGAGAAACTTTTCAGGCATAAATACAATCAGTTTATCCCTTCTGTCTGGTAAAACATGCTGTGTTGATTTATTAGCTGCTAAATGAAACCTCTCTATATTCTGGATAATTGCAGGAGTAGTAAATACTCCTWTGCCTTTTTTAAGTTGTTGCTTATAATTACAATCTTAACCTAAAATTTAARAAATGCACGAGTCTCCCCCCCTCCTCCTGTTTTTATGTCAAGCGGCAAGATGTCATAAATTGTCAGCTTGCCTCATGATTTATGCTCCTGTGTGTTTCTGGTGTGTCAGCTGTTCTGTACATGTTCAGCACAGGACCTGCTCCTCACACTAGTTTTACAACCCATACTCACCCTCACACACTCTCTCTCTCTCTCACACACACACACACA